TTCCTTCAGTGCTCTGGCCGCGAACAGTCTGATCCGACACCTCTAGGTCATTCACCTCACTCTCACGCCAATTTTGACCGCTAAATGATACAGTTGATTTCACAAGCTTTATCGGTCGTCGGGCTGATTCACCGAAGAGCGTATATCTGTTTTGTCCAGCAATCCTCACTAACTTTTTCACACTTTCTTACTAGCAAGCCATTCTTACTAGGACTGTGTGGAATGTTCCGCAGAGCTGCTCTCCATTTCAGCAAACTTCTGTGTTGCGTGAGTTTCGCTTCGCAGCCAAGCGGGTCCGTATTCAGGACCAGAATGACCATTACAACGCTCCCACTTGACTATCTATGGGGTGACCTGTACGGACCGGCTTAATCCTCCATGGTAATAAAGACCGACAACCTCCGTGCAGTCATATTTGCCATCACAGCCCCTGCGAGGCCATTCAGGAACCGAAATACTGAACCGCAGTAATTGCACTGCGGAGTTGTACCCAGCCTTACGGCTCATCCAACATAGGCTGAAGCACCCTGAATTCTGATTCCCTCCCAGCTAACACAAGCGAACAGTTAACCCTGAGAAGGCCTTTGTGGTTCCATCCATCGGGCCCATTAACGGAATCTAAATGGTTTAAGATCCTCTTGCACCCGCAGATAACTTCCTCAACTAACTCAGTGAATCTCGTTGCGGTGTTACAATGTATTTTTCTAAAAGTGTAACAGGTAAGTTTACCAGGATTCATTATACTCTACCTCCCCCGTATCGTCGCACCCAGAGATATACTGCTCTGGCTTTAAATAGCGAGAGTCTTGTTGGATCTATTTCAAGGCTTGCGTTTGTACTGAGCGATTTATTTCAGTTTGGGTGACTAGTGCTCTTAATCACTTCCCATCATATCCAAGGCTCAGTTGAAGCGGCGCTTACACCCTTTCACGTAGGTCATTAAGCTGGCAGACTTACGGTATAAGCCTGCCTGCTTGAGGTGCGACGCCATAAATTCCTACAGTTGTGCCTACCAGCTAAACGGAATCTGTTGGACGTCAAGGGAACCAACGGTCTCGAAAGCTTGCGAAGACGCTTCAATCCTATGTATCCACCAATAAAGTAATTTATCTTAGTGGAGGGGCATAAATTATATCGAATCCAGTGAGCAGAGCCTACTACCCACATGGTCTCAGAAAATGTTTGGCAGAGTAACATAGAATCCGTTGGATCCCAGGGTAACTGTTTGTTCTCAAGTCAGGAAATAAAACTTCCCTTCAGCAGCACCCTTAACGATAGATTCATCGTTCACTTAAACTGCCGGCTATTTATCTCCAGCTGAAAGTTGACCATTTTGGAACTGTCAGCAGACCTGTGCTCCGCGATTTATAGGCCATCCGTGAAGGGGATTGGCGACCGGCGCATATGTGACCAGATTGTACTTTGGTCGCTCAGCTAATTCAGGATGGCATGGACACCGACTTTATCCACTGATGACCTCTAAATGAGGCCCAGTTGTTTTTGTGGGTCACTTTCACGCAAAACCTTTACAAATGCAATTCAGATTTCATAAATTGATTCACAACCTCCTGATGACTGCAAGTGTGGCAAAGCGAAAGTCAAGAAAATCAGGTAGCCGAAGTAAGCCACCGCTTGCGTTCACCAGAGGAAATTAAATTCTCGTAAACAGCAGAGTTTCAAAGATTATCAATTATTAGGTTAAAATCCCCAAAGGTTCTGAGGAAACCAACATCTGCCCCCTATGGGATAAACATCAAGGCGGGGTGTGCATGTACTATTCATTTGAGGAGGGCTTTTGTGTCCCCATGCAGTGGGGGTTTGACAGTGAATCCCTAATGCCTGATTCGACTTGGTCTAGTAATGTTACCGATTTCGGTCTACATACGTTTCAGCCGTAGGTAAAGTCTCGTCACTACTGTAGTGATTATACACCCAATAGATGACAAGATACGAATTTGATTTACAAATTTACACAGGGACAAATGGTTTTAGTTAAACGCAGTCCACCTGGAGTCTTGTAAAAGTTCGAGTCCAATAGGACACGCTTTTGGAGAATTTTTGCCGTACGCAAAACCGGATTCAACTAGAAAGAGGCTCACAGTGAGCAAAGTATACAGTCCTGAGCCATTCAAACACTAAATGGCAGATGCACCAATGGAACATGCTGATGCGTTCACCAAGCCACGAACCCGGTTGTTGTGAACGATCCTGGTTAAACATTGAGTGGAATATTCGGCACCTAAGCAAAGTGACTTTTGCACCCCGATTCCACGCCCATTGGCAGAACATCATCATGGGGGCTGACAGCCCTATAAGTTCCTCCAGCTCGCATAGGTCCAATGTGACAAGTTTATTGGTTTCAGGTTGCAAACTTTCACAGAAAACGGCTGACGGGATGAAACAGCACACGAAAATTTTCACTCACTGCATTATTCTTGATTGATTAGTATCCCGGACGATGATTTCGGGTAATTAAATATCAATCTAACGGAAGCAGTAGCCAAAGACGGCATGCATGCCGCCAGTTGAGTTGAGAAAATCTGATATCCTGCTGTTTCATCTAATTAATTCAGTGGCAGTGTTTCATAGAGCAC